CAACAAGCAATGAAGGAGGTTTGCAGAAAAGAGGGACTGGAGAAGGAAGCCAATGAAAAGGGTCCCTGCAGGCGTCTCTGACACCCTATTCTGTTTCTTCAACCCACACTCCACCCCTACTTCCTTGGCTGTAATTTCTCCACTTAGTTCAGTATTTATCTCACAGGTTTCTTATTCCCAACTCTCCAAAGATGATTGACTCCGGACCAACTTTCAGGAACCCTTATGAGAGGCTTGATTCCAAGGGACCCTTCTCTAAGGATGTATATATGTCTGGTGGAAGAGGAGTTCAGGGTCAGACTCTTCCGCTGCTGTAACCTGTTACCTCATACAGTGAACAAACTATACCGAAGTACATGTTGACCCTGTTAGTTACTGTCCCCGTGGTATTTAATGAGCATGTACTGTATGGCTCTCTCTCTCTCTCTCTCTCTCTCTCTCTCTCTCTCTCTCTCTCTCTCTCTCTCTCTCTCTCCCCTTTTATTGAAACAGTTTCTCTGTGTAGCCCTGGCTGTCCTAGAACTCTCCCTGTAGCCCAGGCTGCCCTCTTACTCACAGAGATCCACCTGCCTCTGGCTCCCAAGTTCTGGGATTAAAGGCGTGCGCTGCCGGGCACAGGGAGCACTTTCATGCAAATCTCATCTAATGCTCCTAGCACTCTGACAGGTCTTAATTACCTTCCCACTTTACAGATGAAGAAGTTGACAGCAGAGCAGGCAGTCTGTTTATTGTAGTATAAAGAGTAAAGATGAACCAGGGGTGGTGGCCCACACCTGTGATCCCAGCACTCAGAAGGCTGAGGCAGGAGGATGGCAGCGAGTTCTTTTCTCTGCCTCAAAAATACTAACAGGAAGAGGAGGAGGGGGAGGAGGAGAGGAAGGAAGAAGGGAAGGAGGGAAAGGAACTGGGTCACCACCAATCCTCTGGCTGCCAGGTATGGGCTGGGCTTTCTCCCCCTCTGCACAGTGTTGCCGCTGCCTGGCCCTGCTTCCCCACCCACCCCATACCTACCTCCCAATCTTACAGACAAACGGGGTTGTGTGTGTTCTTCTCCTGTGTTAATGACCCCTGGTGGCGACTTTCTTATTAACTCACCTTCCAGACCTGGTCAAATTTGAAAGCGCCACCGCCGGAAAGGTCATTAGAAAGAAGCAGGAAGAGAAAGATGGGGCTCTCCAGGGAGAGAGGAAGAGGAGACAAACGAGGCGAGCACTCCATGGGGCCCGGAGAAGGAAGGGGTGGGTGAGCTGAGAGAGGAGCACTCGCGTTCTATGCCCAGGCTGTAAAGGGACACAAACAGGGGCTCCATTGTGTGGGCACAAAGGAGCCATATGTCTGCCAGTCTACTGCAGTGTGTGTGTGTGTGTGTGTGTGTGTGTGTGTGTGTGTGTGTGTGTGTGTGTGTTCGCGTGTGCCACGCGCAGGGAGGACTGGCTTAGAGACCCCATTCTGAAGACCTTGGGGCCTTGCCTTCTGCTGTCACTGAGTTCAGGCTTTCTGAGACAGAGGGCTGGGGAGCGATTATAGCAGACAGGCCTAGAAGGTCAGGGCCTGAGCAACTGCAAGAGTCCATGCTGTGCGTAGGCACTAGAAGAGGAAGGAAGGGGTGATGTGTCAGATGGTCCCTCATCTGGGTGGCCAAATAGCCTCCCCTCTTACCCGACATCCCCTTCGCTCACACCCTGCTGGCTCTGGCTCTGGGTTTTGTTTTGTTTTTGTCTGGTCATTTCATTTCATTTCTTCTTTGGGTTGTTTTGACATCGAGTCTTGCTATGGAACCCTGCTTGGCCCAGAACTCTCTATATAGCCCAAACTGATCTCGAACTTGGGAGCATCCTCCTGCCTCTGCCTCCCTAGTGCTGGGATTCCAGGCGTGAGTCACCGTGCCCTGCTTCGGAGCTGGGTTCTGGAGCAATGCGAAATGAGCTGTGTTGTTCTGCCCCTGTCCTCTCCCGCGGCCTGTTAGCTTTGCAGCTTCCCCTTCCCTCTCCTTCCCTCAGCCCAGGGACTGTCCTGTCTCCATCGCAGCTCCACTCTGTCCCCTGTCTCCCCGTTCCCTCCCCCTCTCACTCTCTGCCTCCTTCCCTGTCCTGCCATGCAGAGCAGAGCGGCAGCCGAGGCCAATTGATTATCTGAAGAAATTTGGAGTTAGCAGCAGAGCACAGCTGCAGCCACCCTCTCTCATCACCCTCAGGCCCCAGGGACCTAGGAGGGGAGGGGCCCCTAACCCTTCTGCTCTCCAGCCTGGGAGGGCGGGAGGGAGGTGGTCCCCGAGCACAGAGGCATAGTGCTAACACTTGGAATCACACTCAGGATCCTGGGACTTGGTTTATAATCCCGGTCTGTCGCTATAGTGAGTCATCACTTTTCCGAATAGGCACCTGTCTTTGAAACAAAGGTGTCACCAGGCATGGTGGCACATACCTGGAATCCAAGCTTTCTGGAGGCAGAAATGGGTGGTTGGAGAGTTAAAGGCCAGCCTGGGCTATTTAATGTGGCTTTGTATAAAAAAATAAGTAAGTAAATACGTAATCAAAGGTGCTGGCCATGTACAGTGGTGCACTCTTGTCATTCTAGCCCTGAGGAGACTGGGGCAGGAGGATGGCAAGTCAGAGGCCAGCCTGAGCTACATGATGATACCTGGTCTCAATTTAAAAAGAAAAATTAAAAATTAGAGCCAGGCGGTGGTGGCACAGACCTATAATCCCAGCACTAAGGAAGCAGAAGCAGGCTGATCTCTATGAGCTCAAGGTCAGCCTGGTCTTCAGAGTGAGTTCAAGGACAGCCAGGGCTACACAGAAAAACCCTGTCTTGAAAAAGAAACAAAAATTTAAAAGGAAGGCAGGGAGGAAAAGACATAAGGATGGGGGTGTCAGGGGGAGCTGGACCCAGGGATCTTCCAGGGTCCTTCCAACACTGGTGTTTTGTAGCTCTTAGATTTTCCTGGCCTCAGTTCAGCCCACCCTCTTGCCAGGCTCTGGGTGTAGGATATTCCATTGAACTCACAATGCAAAAGAGAAGGCATCAGATCTTAGGAGTTCCTTTCCAACTCAAATCCAAACCCCTCTTGCTAATGGCTTTCTGTAATCACCCTTCAGGTACCAGAGGATGTCTCAGCATGCCCTGCCCTCTGTTTTTACGTTCAGCCGTCTTACACGGCCCTAAATTAGGAAAGGTCCTTCCACAGTCTCTAGCCAGCATTCCATCTGGAGTGGGAATGTTCTCTAGGTGTCTCTTTATAGACTCGATTCTCCAGCCCCTCTGCTTGGATTCCTCTTTCTGGGGCAGGTGATTCTGAGGCTGGACAGCTCCAGGTACTACAAAAACTGCCAAGTTTTTCTCGGAATTAAAAATCTATCATCCCGTAGCCTCTACTCAGTGGTCATGGTTCTAACTTCTGGAGCCACATAAGACGTCCATTTTTTGTTTCTTCATTTAATATTTGAAGATGAGGATGGTTTTACCTCTAAATCTACTTTTTGCTTGCTTTGGTTTTTGAGGCAGGCTCTCACATATCCCAGGGTGGCCTCAACTGTACCTGAGGATAACTTTGAGCCAACTGCCCCCCCCTTCGAGTGCCAGGGGTAGAGGTGTGCAGCCAACCTCTTTTATACAATGCCAGGGAGGCCCAGGTTTCCATGCATGCTAGGCATGCACTTTACCAACTAAACTGCCCCCAACTATAATATATATATATATTATATATATTATATGTATATATATTCTAGCCCCTAAATACACTTTTATCAAGAGAGATATCCTTCCTCCCACACACATACACCCAGACCCACCTCCGGGCCCCGGTGGTAGAGCATTTATTTACCTACAATGTGTGAGACCTCGGGTCCCATCCCCAGCATCAAACCAAAAATAAAACAAAAGCCCCAGATGTGTCTTCTGTTTTCCTTGTAGAGTGATCTCCAGACCTTTCGCCTTCCTAAGCATGCAATGGGCCTCTGTTTTATCAGTGTTCCTGTTTAAAAATAGGAGGTCCAAAAGAACACCACCTGTCAGGCTGGGTCATTTTAGGGAGGCCAGATATCACGGTGAACACCTGTAATTCCAGCACTCGGGAGGTTAGCAGGTGGAAAGGTCTCAGTTAAGATTGTCCTAGGCTGTGTGCCAAATTTAAAGTCAGCCTGAGCTACATGCGGCCCTGTCTTCCATCGACCCACTCATCCCCCAAAAAGAAGCCATATCTAAATCTGAGTCTTAACTGTGTCCCTAATAGCTGTGTGGCTTTGGGCAAGGTGCTCTCTGACTCTGGGCTTACACATCTGATACACTGATTTATACTTTGATTTCAGGATCTGATGCCAGCTCAGCACCGCTTCCCCCTTCGGTGTTTTCGGGCAGGAGCTCAGGCTAGACTTGAATCGGTGACTGCCTGCCTCAGCCTCACAAACCCAGCCAGTGAGCACTCTATTTTGTTTTTTAATCCCTTTCCTCACTCTCTCCGCATCCTGTCCTCCCTCATGCTCCATCCTGTATCTAATGCTGGGGAACACAGAACAGACAAAGTCCTGAGGTTTCAAGTAATGTTGACCTAAGCCTGGAGATGATAAAAGAAAAGGCAATGCCTTGATTTTATACCATGGCTTTCTCCATCAGCTTGGACCTACAGACACGGGTTTCACTTGGGTTCTGTTGGGACACTCAGCTGCTTTCTCTCAAGACCATAGTGAGAAGATCTGAAAAAGAGAAAGTGTCACTCAGTGAACGCTAAGATGGAATTTCTGGTAGGGGACCTGGGGCCTATGCATGACCTCTTTTCCCTGTAACCCCTCTTCTCTGTCTTCATTTATTTACCACACGAAGCTTTCCTGATAACGACACTCTGAAGAGGCTTCAACGCCTGGGACCCTCGCTATCCACCTTCCGCAATCTTCAGGCCAGCTTCCCAACACAAAGGAGCCACAGCCATATCTGGTACTAGATCGAGGTCACTTTAATTTTTGTTTTTGTAAGAAATTAGGAATGCAGCCAGAGAGAGACTTACACACAGGACACCAGACACAGATCCGGGGGCCTGCTCTTGGTGGTATTGGAAAAAGCAGGGCCGATAAGAGGAATGGAGATGGATAGATAGGACTGGAGTGGGATTGTCAAGGGGTTGAGAGAGGGCACCCAGAAGGGGAGGGGTTGGGGAAGGGGCACTGTTCCAGAGGAAAGGGGGTGGGAACAGATGGAGCTGAGGAAGGGATTCCCCACACATACCTGCATTGGAGAAGGAGCAAGAAAAGGAAAGAAGTTACCAGGGAGAAAGGAGGGTCCCAGCTTGAGCTAGCTGTGGGGAGCCTCCCTCATCATACCCCAAAGTGCATAACTCAGTAATAAATAGTAATATTTATAAATAAATAAATGAATAAATACATAAATAAATACATAAATAAATAAATATCCTTGTAGAGCTAGGAGTTTGGTCTGAGGGTGGATGGAGCCTAGAAAAGCAGTGAGTTCATTTCTTCTACAGGGATTCTAAGGCCCATGGACTCACGGGCTACAGCGGGCAGGTGGGGCTCAGCAGCATGTGCGGGGCGCCTCCCTTCCCGTGGCAGCTTAAGAAAGGAAGGGGGGAAAGTGTAATAAGGCCCTAGAGCATGCACAGGGGGCAGTAGCGGGCATCCCCTTGTGTCTGGGGGAGGAGCTGATGGTGTTTGCATGTTTTCAAGGTCTGCTGGGATTGGAAGCAGCTGCTGCTGAGTGCCCCACCCAGGGCCTGGGCCTTCTGCACGGTGCCCTAGGCTGTTCGAAGATGTCATTCTCATCCCAGGACTGAGGTTTTCCTTTTTCTAGCCGCCACCGGGATAAGGGAGAAAACTGAACTGGCAGAAGGGAGAAAGGGACAGGGGAGTGGCCAGACCGCTCCAAGAAGGCAAGGCACTCACTACCAAGTAAGAGCTGAGGTCTGTATAGTCTAAGCCTCAGGAACAAGGTAGACAAGGAAAGGCCGACGTTTTCTATAACCCCTGGCTGCCCAGGAGTCACCTCACTCATCTCTCTGTGTCCCAAGAGCCCATCCCTCCCCCAGGCATGGCTAGAGAAGTCTGGGACTAAGGAACCCACTACCCTCTCTGCCCCTTCTGAAGCGGAATCCCACCATTGCCAGAAAGAGAATCTGGGTCTAGCGTCTCTGAAAACTTGGACATAGGGCGCAAGAGGCTAAGGCTAGTTAATCCAGCAAGGACTCCATCCTGACCAGTCTGGCAAAGCGGCTCTGACCAGCTAGGCCCTAACAACTCTCTGAAAGAACCCATGAGAACATGCCTGGGTCAATGAAAAGAAACTGGCCTTCGGGACCAGAGGCGTAAGCCTGGTCCTCTGGGATGGGAAGGAGATGGCCATTCTAAGTAATGCGTGGTGACAAGGAGCTCAGGAGTGGCCCCGGGAGGAGGGGAGAATCCAGGGCCGGGGGCGGGCTGAGTTCAGACGTCCAGCACGTGATTCAGGTAGGAGATGTAGCAGATGGCCAGACGCAGGATCTCAATCTTGGAGAGCTTCTTGTCTGGGGGCAGAGTGGGCAGCAGCTTGCGCAGCTCGGCAAAGGCCAGGTTGAAGGCTTCCACGCGGATGCGCTCCCGCGTGGCATGAGCCGTGCGGTACTTGGCCGTGGCGCGGCGCCGGCGCCTGCGCTCCTCACGGCTCAGGTGCTGCAGGTCTTTGCGGCCCGACTCTCCGAGCTCCGAGCTCCGGACCTGGCCCACTCCCGGATCCCCCGACCCAGCACCATCCGGGCCCGGCCCGCCCCCACAGTCGCTAAAGCCCGACTCGGTCTCCGAGTGGGTGGGAGGCAGGTCCAGCTCCATGGTGTCGGAGTTGAGCATCATGATGAAAAGCCCCCGGCCTAGTGAAAACCGGATCACCTCCCTATCCCTCCCTCCCTCCCTCCCTCTCGGGAGCTTGAAAACGGGCTGTGGGAGAGAGGCTGGAAGGGCCTGGAGTGCTGGGGTCTGCCACTGAGCTCAGGGAAGCAGAGTCACTTCAAGGTTCCATGGTCAGGATTCCAGCCTGGAGCCTGAAACAGAGGAGGAGAATTAAGAAATGACCGCTGAAGGGGTGGAAGAATTGACAGCCGAAACTTGGAGTCAGGGTTGTCCAAAGCTAGAGAGCCCAGCGGGTGGAAAGGAATGGGAGGAAAGGAAAAATAGAGGAAAGAGAAAGTACTAGGAAAGACCCGGTAGGCAAGTTAACACTGAACAGGAGAACTGAAGACCTAAAAGCGCTCAATTCCTAGAAGAAAAATGAGGGAAATCTGTCGAGACATTGGACTTGGCAGTTATTTCTTGAATATGAGAACAGAAGCATAAACAAAAAGAAAAATTCTCCATCAAACTTAACTGTAGTGCATTAGGAACAATTACCACAAGGAAAACCCAACCTATGGAGTAAGGAAACGGTCACAAACCATATATCTGATAATAAGTTAATATCCAGAGCATATAAAGAAGTTCTTAGCCAGGTGTGGCAGCATATGCCTGTGCAACCCCAGCACTCAGAAGACTGGGACAGGAGGATTGTGAATTTGAGACTGGATACATAGTGATACTCAATCTCAAAAGAGGAAAGTCCGGAACAACCAAAATAGTTCATATCCTAATTTTAAAACGGGAAAAGGACTTGAACAGACATGTGTCCAAAGATGATGTACAAATGGCCAACATGATTATGAAAATACATGGCACATCACTGATCACTAAAAAATGCAAAATAAAACCTCAGTGAAACATCACCCCACATCCACTAGAGACAGATAATGTAAAAATCTAAAACTAAAACAAAATCAGTGTTGGCAAGGATGTGAAGAAATAGGGACCCTTGTTTGTAGGATTGTAAAGTGGTACAACTGCTATGGAAAACAGCCTGGATGGTCCTCAAAAAAAAATTGCAACTGGAAATACAGTTATGCTCTAGCATTCATGAGATATTGACACACCCATGCTCACTCATAACATTTGAGCTTGCAGAAGCAGCTCAAATGTTCACCAGTGGAGGAGTGGATGAAAGAATGCAAATACGATGTATACATAATAGACGATGAGCTTTGAATAGGAAGGGATTCCTGTCATACTGCAACACTGATTAAACCTTGAGAACACTATACTAACGACGTAAGAACGCACACTAAGACAAGTACTAAGACTCCACTCTTTAAGTTTCTAAAGTGGTCTAATTCATGAAAGCAGAAAGTGGAGTGGTTGGAGGGGGAGGCAAAAGAGAGCTGTTTTATAAGGAGCACAGAACTTCACGTGCACAAGATGAAAAAGTTCTGGAGATCAGTCTCACATAATGAGAATATACTTAACACTCTCACACTCTACCCTTATTTGTTGTGGTAGCAAATTTTGGTGTGTGTGTGTGTTTGTGGGGAGGGCACATAATAAATAAGGGGGAAGGCAGACCAACAGCCCCAAGGGGGGTTGGCGATGACTCTAGCCCTTTCCCAGGAGTGAGGGGAGGACTGCAAAGCCTTGACTTTGGAATCTTCTGCCCCCTTGTTTCTTTCAGGGGAGGGGAAGCCAACGCAGAGACAGGTCATTGTTGAGTGGACTGGGATATATGCAGCTTGGCACAACTTCCTCAACGTCACCTCCATAGACATTAGGTCCTACCACCTTGCCCATGAGAACCAAAGAAAGATATTTCTTCTCCGCACATACTGCTGCATAGGACCAGCAGATCCCCCAGATCCATCCTTAGCACATTTAGCCCCTGCCATTTCATGGCCTCTTGGAAATTCTGCAAGGAAGACTGGAAACTCACTCACAGCCTCCTGCAAAGGAGGACATGGGAAGTTTCTTGGAGCTATCCTTATGGAAGCCAGCTAAGTTTGCTTGTCCCAGAGTCACTGGGTCTCTCACAGTGAGCTCAGCCTTAATAGAAACAGAAGCACAGAGACTCCTTCCCAGTCACCATCCCCGTCATCCCTGGCCCTGGCTTTCCAGCTGACAGACAATCTCACAGGACCCACCCTGGCTTTCCAGCTGACAGACAATCTCACAGGACCCACCCTTTCTCCTAGGCTTGCCCCCACCCCACCACACAGAAGACAGGTTTGAGACTAGAGCCGTTATTAAGCTCTTGGGGGAGGGTAGGGGGGGGGACGGACACTAGACCACCAAACACAACATAACAAAAGCTGATTAAAGCTGAAATTATGAACATCCTATATATTCTAGGGTCCAAAGAAAGAAGAGAGGAGAGAAATTGTGCGGGGTGGTGGGAGAACATTTCCCAGTACATGTGGTGTCCCTAATTCCCCACTCCCAAGATGGGCCGGAACCAAGAGTTCAGCCTTGGGGTTCCCAGTACATCTACCACAACTGGATTCTCTCCCTGTCCAATCCCCATGTTCCTGCATCCTCCATCACTCTCTGATGCCCTCCCTTTCTCTCTCCTGCTCCCCATCTGTCACAACCCATCTCCACCTGCCCCTCCCTTCTCCCCACCTCCGCTCCCGGCAGCAGCCTCTATTTCCCCATCAAGTCTTTCCTCCACGTCTGGCCCCAAAGTCTCAGGCTCCAAGGAGGAAGGAAGCAACAATTCCAAGCATCCAAGATAGGAATCCCGACCCGACTTCCTCCACCTGCAGCTGACCGAGGCTGCACAAAGAATCCAAGAGAAGTCAGAGAGAGAGGCAGAGATTGAGAGAGACCCAGCTAGGGGAAGGTTCTGGGAGGGGACTCAAGCCAGAGGTTGGGAGTGGTGTGCCCACCCTTCCCCAGCCCATAGTTTCCCCTTACCTAGAAGGAGTCTGCCAAAGGATCCAAGCTGGTGAGTGGGGGGACAGTGTAGAGCGCTCCCGCCTCTTCTGGCTCCTCAAGGGTCATCTGTCTGCAAAGTTGGTGGCCAGTTTCTAGAGCTCTTAGGGACAGCTTGTTGTGGCTGAACGGGCTTCAGGACAGAGGAGAGGGGTACACATGGTGGAGACGTAGGGCCTAGGCAGAAGGGGTGGTCTTGGTCAAGCACTGGAGTCACTCACACTCATGCTCACACTCATACACACTCACAGACACATACACACACCTGAACTGGCCCAGCCTTATGTGTGTATATATATGGAGATACACACACACCCCCAGCTCTCCATTGGCTGGCCCAAGCAGCCCCCTCATCAATATTAAACAGCCAGGCCAGGCAGTCATTGGCAGAGGGATCTGGGAACCCCTTGGGAGCTGGGGGCGGGGGCTGGCCCTGAGGGGGGCGGGGAGTGGGGGAGCGGGGACATCTGTTCTCCATGCATATTTCATAAGCAAGAAATAGAGAGCTGGGGAAGGGGTGGGGCTGGGGCGAGAGCCAGGGCAGGACCACAGATGAACCCCCTCAGTCTCCACACTGGAAGTAGCAAGCAGGGCAGAGAACTGCAAAGAGGCTGGATTTAAAATAGTTCCACTCTGAGTCCCACAGAGTGGCTCTGACTGCCCCTTCTCCACATCTCCCTTTTCCTGGGAAGAAGGCTCTCCCTAGCACTAACATCGAAACTATGAAAAGACTAAGAGGCCCGCCAGCACTAAAATGTGGAAGAGGACCGGAAAGTCCTCCCCGTAAGTTCTCATACAGACAGTATTCACAGCTTGTCGGACTGCTTCTCACTACTGTTCAGGTCCTAGCCCTTGTCATGCTGGGACTCAAGCACCCTGACAGTCTCTCTTCCAGGCCCCATTTTCCCACCTACCCCATCACCAGGTCAGGAGTGGGGTCAGATTCCGGATAGGGACAACCCCCCCCCCCCTGCTCCATGGGGAGTTCTTCTAGACTGGCTAGCCGGAGCTGATTCACAGGGAATCAGAGGCTTGGGAAGAAAGCAGTAGGAGCTGATAGGGGGAGGAGGAGGAGGAGGAGGAGGAGGAGGAGGAGGAGGAGACCCAAGCAAGGCAAATGGAGATTGGAAGGGCTCTAGGAGAGGAGGGCAGGGCAGTCCGGGCTGCCTGAGTATGCAGCCCATCAAATGAGCAACAAGAAAAGTAGATACAAAATCATGTGCAAATGAGCACTGATTAAGTTCACATCAACAGCTCAGCCGCCTCCAGGGTCTGTGCCTGTGCATATGCGTGTGTTTGTGTCTGTGTGGGTGTGTGTGTTGCAGGGTGGCCTGAGAGGGGAGCAAGTTTCTGGGGCCAAGGGAAGCACAGAGAAGCAGTGGGCTGCGTTTCAGCATGGAAATTCCCCCGTGTATTCAGCTGTGGGATGGTTTCCCTTGAGCCTCAGTATCAGAAACAAGTCATGGCTGGGGGAGGCTCCAGACCCAGTGAGCGGCAGCAGAAGGGGATCGGTTAGCTGGAGGACCAGGGACAAGTGATGACCTTTGAGCCTCCATGTCTTTTTTTTTTTTTTTTTTTTCCTTCAAAATAGGGTAAACTGTAACTGTTTAGGTTGCCATGGGGATCAAGTGAGATCATGCTTGTAATAGCGTAGACCCTAGTAGGAGCCCAAGCTGTGGGAGGGAATTGCCGCTTCAATGTATCTTCTCAACCTTTTCTGGGCTTTCTCCAGGGTGAGGCCTTCCCAGTAGGGAGTCCTATAATTCCTCCCCAAGCTCACCCTCCTCTCCCCACCCCCAGGCCTGGGAGGTGCCAACTCCCACCTGGGCAGGCCCAGACAGGTGCCCAGGCGCCAGCAGATGGGCTGAGCTGGAGGGGAAAGAAGGCCTGAGGAGGGGGTGGGGGGGCAGGGGATCAGGTGGCGGCTTGGTTCTTGCATCATCATTGCCATGGTGCTGATTAAAAACCAATCTCCACCTAATGAGCCCCCAGCAACAACAATCCTACTTCCCCCACCCTCCGGCCCTCCAACCCATCCAAGAAATTGGGAGACTGAGACTCAGAGGAAGTGCCATGGGAGAGATGAGAGAAGATAGGGAGAGGCAGAAGGAAATGATGAAGGAGGGAAGAGGGGATGCTGAGACATGGAGGAGACACAGAGGAGAGGGAGGATGTAGTCACAAGGTGACAGAGATGTAGAGGAGACAGAGAGGCCAAGAAGGAGGGAGGGTGGGGGCCAGGTTGCCACGTCTTTGCAGCAGGTGGAGATGCAGGATAAGAAGAGATAGAAACTTGGAGGGGAAACCTGAAAAGAGACTGTTATGGAGCTTCAGGGATGGAGGGACATTCTCAGGGGTGGGGTAAATGCTAATCTGAGAAAGTCTGAGGGAAGCCATAAGATGGAAGGGAGAGGTAGACATGGAGGAAGCAGAGAGAAGTTGTCAGAAAGAGGGAAATTATGGGCAATACGGTAGGGAGACACTATAATCAAATATCAAAAGGTCACCCAAGTGGGGGGCCCAGATCCCAAAGGGTAAGGCATTGAGGAACACAGAAGCAGAATGTTGAGAGACCACAGAGCCGAAAGGAATGATGGGGAGGAATGGGCACTGGAGGAGGGAGCCAAACTCCTGTCCACAGCCGCCCCCTTGCTGTTCAGCTCGGATACTTTCAGCCCTGCAACCTCTGTCCCGAAGCATCCAGCCCTAGCTGTCCCACGTACTCTGGGGACTATTTCTTCCTCCTCCGCATCTGTCATCTCAAGATCTTAGGCTCTGGGGATCCCCAGTTCCAGGCCTCACTCAGGAATTCAGTTTTTACCTCTTAGGGCACTAGCTGAAAAGAACACAGGCAGGTCATAAAGAGGAACCAATAGCACAGAACCATAGGAAGCACTGTATCTACTGACCCCGGAGTCTGCTGGACCTGGGTCCAGGTCCTTGTGACCTTGGACAAGTCACCCACCTTCACCATCTGTAACACGGGCATAATGTTGCCTTCTCCACTGGGCTGTTGTGATACCCAGTGAAACAATTCGTGGGAGACTGAGTGAACTGTGGAGTGTTCACCCCAATTCTCTACATATGCATGGTGGTTAAAAGGATCCAGGAAGTTTCATTCACATATGTATGTAAGGCAATATGACTGAGGGCAGCTGAGGTGAGCTCTCCATGTTGGGAGCTATGGGTGTGTGTGTGTGTGTGTGTGTGTGTGTGTGTGTGTGTGTGTAATGTAGGGGCTAGCTCCCCTGCAAAGGAAGACAAGAGCAGGCTTTGGGGATGGAGAAAATGATTATACCTCCGTGGCTTATTGTTATTTGCGTTTATGGGCATCCACTTGTTCAGACTGTAGATCACGAATTTCCTGCTATCCTTCGGCAGCTATGAGGTTCTGAGGGGAGGGGGGTTTGGAGGGTAGGTTAGACACACACAGAGGCTGGAGCTAGTCCTTGAGGGTGAGGGGAGGGTCTGGAGAAGCTGGGAAGCAGTGGGCTTGGCAGGAGACGGGGTGACATATGTGGGGAGCCCTGGGGACCCAACCAGGCAAATGGCTGGCAGGGAGAGCAGACAGTATTAACTCTTGCTGCGCCACGCTGCCTGACCCTTCTCGGCGGCGAGTAGCTGTGGTTGAGCCGTTATTCTGTCAGCCACTGGAGATGCGTCGTCGGGTCACGGGAGCCAAGGCAGGCGAGGGAAGCCTGAGCAGGGGCTACTGTCTCCTGGAAATGGAAGCCCTGCTCTAGTGTGTCTTCATCTTCCAGTTTCTGTTCTTGGTTTCCACATGGTCTCTGTCAGTCTGTCTTTCTGACTCTACCTCTCTGTGCCTCTAAAAGGTGACGGCGGCGGGGTCTCCACTCTGGCTGACTACACAATCTGTCACTCTCTGCGCCGCTGCCAGCCCAGCTGGAAGCCCCCCACCCCCTCCAGCACCCAGCCCAAGCCCTCTGCCCCGGGCCCCCTAGGCCTGGTCGCCTTTGTCTCCTAAGGCGGCCTCCCCTTTCTTCTTCCTCTTCACTCACCTCAGAGCCCATCTCCAATCTCATTACAGCCTCAGCCTCCAACCACTGTACCCCCAACCCCCAGCCTTCTCTCTTCCCTCCCCCATCCATCTGTCTTCCCCGAAGCTCTCCTCTTTGTGTCCTCCCATCTGTCGCCACCAGCACTGGGCCTACTCCCCTCCTGGCCACACCCGCCTGGCCTTTCTCCCCTTGGGCTCAGCTCCCTCTCCCTCCCCTTCCTCCTTCAGCCCTACCAGGAACCCAGCTTTCGGAAATCTTGTTTTTTTAGGATGTCCTAATCCCACCCGTCTAGTATCTCTGACTTGAGTTGGGGGAAGATGGAGCTCTCCAGGGTCCCAGCCCCTAACCCCTGAGCAACCACTTAGTTGGGACAGAGGATGGTAACATTGGCTCACAGTTGCATCACCTCAGGTGAATGACTTCTCCTTAGGCCCCCTGAGATGACCCTCCACTCTTGCTCCGTGTTTCCCTGTTTGGGCCCAGGGCTTACACTGCCCTTCTGCCGCGCAGAAGTACCTTCTGGGTTTAAATTCGTGAGAAATAAAAATTTATGCAGAAGCCCACTGGGACTCCCGGCCTTCCAAGAGCTTCAGATTCTCCAGCACAACTCCAGCCTCCCCTTTTATTTCTATTTCTGTCCTGGAGCTCGTTCTGTAGCCCAGGCTGGCCTCGAACTCACAGAGATCCGCCTGCCTCTGCCTCCCGAGTGCTGGGATTAAAGGCATGCATCTATTTCTTTCTTTTTTTTTTTGTCCGTCCTTCTGTCCTTTCTCCTTCCTTCCTTCCATTTCCCCTCCTTCCTCCTTCTCTCCCTTCCTCTTTAATCCTTTTGAGGAAATGATGCCAAATTTATCAAATTTCTCCTGTCCCTGGGCTAGGGGACAATAGTGTCCCTTTCCAGAGTTGATCCTTGTGCTATCCTGAGAGTTCATGAGTTGATCATATTTTCAAATGGCCCTGGCCTCCAGGAGCTTAGGGAGAAGAAAGAGGAGGCTAGGACCCCAGCCGTTCCTTCACAGAGCCAGTGTGGACTAGAGAGAGCAGCCCCTTGTCAAAGACTACCCTCTGGAGCCCAGAGAGGGTCAATGCCCCTCCCCATCTCACACAAGCAGCAGACCAAAAACTGTCCTGAGCTCTTCACACAACCCGAGGCTCCTGTCCATTGACCTCAGCCTGGAGCAAACCCGCTGTCCGATGAACTTGGGTAGAACCTAAGACTGATCTAGTATGGAGCATACACAGGGTTATCTTGTGTCCCATCCCTTCCCTCCGTCTAAACTTTGGAATCTTAAAGAAAAGATGCCACATCTCTTCATGCTTTTACCGTGCAAGGACAAAGCGCCTTCCCTGTGGCTATGCTAAGTAAATGTTTATTACTGCTATGGCAGCAGAGCTGTAAGGCATGTTCTAGTCTCACCTTGGTCTCTCCCTTCTTATATGTCCCTACTCAAGCAGCATCACTCCTCTGGGCTAGTTTCTCCCATTTATCATAACAAATGAGCTGAGCCTCTGGGCATGGTGGCACAGGACCGGTGGCACACGCCTTTAATCCCAGCACTCGGGAGGCAGAGCCAGGCGGATCTCTGTGAGTTCGAGGCCAGCCTGGTCTACAAGAGTGAGATCTAGGACAGGCATCAAAACTACACAGAGAAACCCTGTCTCGATAAAAAGGATGAAGTAGAAGAGGAGGAGGAGGAGGAAGAGGAGGAAGAAGAAGAAGAAAATGCACATGATTTCTAAGGTCTTAGAAATTGTAAGTCCCTGGATGCAGAGTATGGGGAAAGTAATGAGGGAAGAGGAAGATAACACATACATATGAAAACACCATAATGATGCCCATTGCTTTGTATGCTAACTTAAAAAAAAACAACTAGGTGGGGCTGGAGAGATGGCCCAACAGTTAAGAGCCAGTTTAGAGCACTGGCTGCTCTTCCAGAGGACCTGGGTTCAATTCCCAGCATCCACATAGCAGCTCATAACTGTCTGTAACTCCTGTTCCAGGGGATCCAACA